TAAGGGTTAGTTTGCGCTGGTAGGGGCACAGCTAGTTATCACCTAGTATAGCAGCCGGCTCTGTTCCACCTGGGTACATTGTCCTCTTGAGGGGTTTTTATTTTGTTTTTATTTTCCTGCCTGATGTGGGGGTCTGCCTTTAGTTGGTTGCCCTCTATCTATACTTAGGATTATATGCATCTGTGTTTCTGGATGGTATCCCCTGCTAGGCCCCTGTGAGTGGACACGTCCTGGGGGTTCAGCCTTTAGAAGTTTGATTGGTAGATTTGGGCGCCAATTTGCAGTACCTTGCCTGGGCTTTGCTTAGCGTCACCATTCAAAGGGCCATGGGAAACCCAGCGGGGGCCCCAAGGGGTTCGATGGATGCGACTCCTGGGTCCCCTTTCGCCTTGTGCGAGTTTGAGGGTTGCTCTGTCCCCTTGTGTCAGTGTAACTCGCTGCTTTTGCCTCTGTCATGCTGCCTGTTGAGTCGGTGACACCTTCGACCCAGAGTCCTGCGAGTTTTGTTGCTTCTTAGTGACTCGGTTCACCCAGTCCACTGATGACTATCTGGATGCAGGCAGCTCAGGCATTGCATGCTAGATATAGGTTGATTGCTAACCCGGAAGCCTCGAGGCTGCCCCGTTTTGCTTATAGGGACCCGGACTTGGTGGTGTTGGTAGCTTTGGCCTTGGTTCAGTCCGCACCCACTCGTTCTTTCCCTGCTGTGGTGCATTCTGGTCCCCCCTCTCCCCTGCTTCTGGCTCCAAAGCGTCTGAGGGCTTCCGGAACGGGACAGGGTTTAGAAGGTTCTGAGATTCGGGCTGTCTCGGGGTGCCTATTTCTGGCTGTCGACGGAGGCATTCGAGTTGGTTCCTCCAGCTGTGGTGTCTGGGTCTGACCTATGGGCGGTTTCCTTCCTCCCTTTTCAGCTGCCCCGGCTTTTTCTTTTGAGGCCGGGGCTTTGGATGATGACTTGGCCCAGGGTCTTGGGGTTGGGGAGGGGCGGCCTTGGGCTCCGTTGGACCCCACCTGGGTTTTTCTACCCTCTGAGTGGGGCTTACTGTTGCAAGAAGTGGGGTTTTCTTCCCCCCCCCCCTCCTGTGTACAAGTTGGATTTAGTGTTGGCCCTCCCCGGGTTTGGTTCCGTGTCCTTTTGGGTTCGTCGGTTTTGTCTTTCTAGAGGTTTTCTAGAAAACCCGCCTCATGAGGTGCGGGCGGCCATTGCAGCTTACCTCCTGCACGACCCAGATTACGCCTCTATAATGTATCTGTCTTCATTCAGGTTTGGGTCTTCGTATTCCTACTGGGTTCATTATGAGGTTCTATTCATCCTGGCTAGTAGACTGCCCTGTGTTGTCTTTGGATGCTTGGAGTGCTTTCTGTGGTACCCGCACTCTTGAGAAGCAGGAGACGCTGACGGTTGTCCAGGTTTACCTGGGAGGGGGGTGCGACTTCGAACAACTCAATGCGTGTTTCTTCGGCCCTGCCCTTCAGCGGGATGTTGGCGTGGTGCAGTTTCACATGCAGGTTCCCTCCCTTTCGACTGCACTAGTGACTGAGGCCTTGGGTGCTCGTGGCTTTGCTGGCTTCGGTCTTGTGGTTCTTTTCCCTCCTGGAGCTGTCTTCGGATTGACTTGAGGAGGATGTAGAAGTACTTGGGGCCGTTCCTGTGTCTGGTGTCTTGGTTTTGGTGGCGCATGCTTCATCTACGTTGTTGAAGCCGTTTGCACCGATCCTGCGGGATGCGGCGTTGCCGTTTTATTCCTTCACGTCTTGCGTGTCGGCAGGTGGTGCTCGCTTCCTCGTTGGATCTGCTTGGGCCCTAGCTCTTTAAGTTTTCCTTGCAATTTTGTCCCTGCTGTTTGCAGAGTCTGCAGGAGACCTCATCTAGTTGTCGCCCGATGTCGGACTGGTTGGTTCTTCGGGGGTCCCGGGGGGGGGGTTCCTCTCGTCGTGGTAGGCCACTGGTGCCGGTTTCTGTGCTGGCGCTGCCTTTGCTGCCCGTCTTTGTCTGGTTGGAGCGGTGATTGCTCTGTGCATAAGTCGGGTTCTCGCAAGGAGCGTCCTGGAAGTCTGGGGTCGTCCAGAATGAGCATTGACACGTCCTGATTTATCCGAGGTTCAGGGATTGGCTCAGTTTTGTTGTGCGGCGTCTCAGTGACCGCTTTTGTTGTCTCCTGTTCGGGTTGAACCTGGCACCTCGCATGTTCACACTCCTTGTCCGGGTAGTGATGGCCCATCTACGTCTCTCTAAGGTCTTCAGGTGATGGTACTGCGTCTCTTAGGTCCTCGATGACCGACTGGTCTGGGCTCCCAGTCAGTCCGCGTGTCTGCTGGCCAGGGATCTGTTTTTTTTCCCAGCTCGTCGTGTTCGGGTTCCTGGTGAATGGGCAGAAGTCCCATCTGGTTCTCTCTCAGGTTCCCTCTCTTGTGTGGGACACTTGGACTGCTTCCTTCTCTCTCCCTCCGGAGTCTCTGCTTCGGCTGCGATCCCGCCTTCGCTTGTTTCTGGGGGCTCCTGGGTCACTCTGCGGTTGCTCTAGGGTTTGTGCAGGAGCCTGAACTTTACCATGATGGTCTACCCACCAGGTCGGGTTTAGCTTCGTCGGCTGTTCTGGTTCTTTCAGGGACGTTCTTTCCACTTCTCGCAATTGCTGGGTTCAGCCTCCGGGGGTCTTGCGTCGGCTGCTACTTCGCCAGCTTCCTCTTTGGGTTTTTTATGCTTCAGTGCCTTGGCGCCTCCCCGTGCCCTCACGCAGTGTGTTCATGGATGCGTTGTCTCTTGGCTGGGGCTTTGAGACCAGTCCTCACCAGGTGGCTGGGGCAGTGGGGTCCGTCCTTCTGTTGGGCCCACGGCATGGGGCGGCAGTTCACGGCGGTGTGGATGTCGCTTCGGAAGGTTCAGGTCCTTTGCGGATTGACGAGCAAGCTCCATTCGGACTACTTCCTGGTGGTTCATTGCCTGAACCGTGGGGGTTCGATGCAGTCCTTGGCCCTTTGGGGGTGGTCGCTTCGGGTGACTCATCTGCTGAGTTCTCGGAGTTTGGCTTTCCTGGCGGTTCACATTCGGGAGGTGTCCAACGTCCTGGTGGACGGTCTGTCTCGGTTCACTCCCCTGTCCACAGAATGGACGGTCAACGCCGATTCATTCAGTTGGCTCTGCCAGACGTACGAGCTCCTGGAGGTGGACCTCTTCGTGTCAGCGTGGTCAAGGCATCTCAAGGTATATGTGGCACCCTTCCCCGACTGTGAGGCCATCAGGGTCGATGCTTTTCGGCAGGACTGGTCGAGGTGGGGTTACCAGTACCTCTTCCCCATGGTTCAGCTGTTGCCTCATGGTTCAGCTGTTGCTCCAGGTCCTAGCTTGCTTGGAGACTTACCAGGGAATAGTAGTCTTCTTGGCCCCCTTGGTGGCCGGACTAGCCTTTGTTTAAGGCGCTGCTTGCTCAATGTCTGAACCCCAGGGGTTTTCCCGTGGCTTTGCCTCTTTCAGCAGGATCGGTCCAGTCTGTTATGTGGCTGGTTCGTTATTCTCCTCAAGTCTTCGTGTCTGGTATTTTTTACTCGAGTCTTTCACCATCTGTATGGTGATCAGGTGGCTTTGTTAATGATGTCCCTCTTGTGTGCTTTGCCTCGGCAGCAGAATGAAGTTTCCTGGCAGTCCTTCCATTTCTTTTTATCTCTTTGTAGGTGTATTTCGCTGTCTGTTAAGGTTGTCTTGTCTTTTCTCTTGTGGCTGTTTCAGGACCGTCATCTTATGCCGAATACTGTCGCCTCGTATCGTGCGGCACTGGCAGAGCCGCTGCAGCTTGCTTTCGGCATCGAAATCACTTCTGCGCCGTTTCGCAAGCTGTCTTGGGCATTGTTTCGCCTTTGGCCTGCTCGTGCGTTGCTAGAGTCATCCTGGTCGTTGGACAGGGTGTTCTCTTATCTCTCTCCCCATCGGTTTGTTGTGGCCCCTTCGGTTGAGGCCTGTTTCTCCAAGGCTTTTTTCCTGTTGGAATTGGCCTCTGGGGGTCGGGTCTGGGAGCTTCATGCTCTCCTCTGGCACAGAAGTTTCTGTTCTTTTGCCTCTGGTGATTGGTTGGTCAGGACAGGGGTACATCACGTGTTGTGTCCGGTTGCCGCTCTCCGCCGTTATTTGCTCGCCACGGCTTCGGTGTTTGGGGATGCACTTTGGGTTGATCCGGATTCCCTTCTTCCCTGTTCAGGGTTCGGGTCTCCTAGGAGTAAGTAGCTCCGGAGAGCCGCTTCTGCTCCCCACAGAAAACCAGCGTTGAATGTAATGAAACGTCATTTTCTGGGCGAGACCCGGAGGCTCCCCGGCATCCCTCCCTTTCTCTGGTCGGCGTTTTTTTTTGTCTGTTTTTTGACATCCAGCCTCAGAACTGAAGGTGTGGGTAGCTGGTGTGAGGGTCTGGGGCTCCCCCTTCCCCCTCCCGGGAAGTGGGGAACTGCGCAGACAGTGGCGCGGCACGTGGAATGTCATACTCATTTGCTCGTTTTTCTTTGGGGAGGTCTGTCCACTTGTTTGACTTTCAGTAGTAGTTTCAACCAGAATAGGGGTTTGTTTTGGGATGCTTACCTTTCTGGGTGCCTGATCCGGTCGATGGCAGACATAGAATGCTTCCAATTTCATGGGAGTTTCTACAGGCCATTGCTCCTCGTGCCATTCTGAAGGGGCCAGGTTCTGGTTCGTGGTCCTCGGTACTGCTAAGAACTCCATTCACACTGATGCCAAAGTCTAACATAACCATTTCAGCCTGGATAAGCTCCGGGGAGTCGACAGGTCTCGTACAGAAAATGGCATTAAGTTACATTCAACGCTGATTTTGGTTTTTCTGAAGAATTCCCATTTGAAAACATGAGTTTTTGTTAGGTCCTGGGCCGGACACCTTTGAAAATGGCATATTTACCTGTATCAGAAAAATTTCTCGTATAAATCTTATGTCTATTCACTTGTGTGCCTTTGTAATGTTACTGTATGTATATATCTGATAGAATTTTTCCTTATGAAGGAACACTCAAGCTAAGTTGCAAGAAATGAGAAAAAACATGGAAGAGTTTAATAAGCAAATGCAGGAGGAACGAGTGAACATGAGTAACCTAGAAGCTGAAATATTGCCATCGAGAAGAAAGCTGATGCTTAATAAGGTTTGTTTCTAATGTGTGTACTTTTGTTTTCCTTTCCATTCAGCATTTTGTTATTTCTCCTCTTTATTCCTATCTTTTTACCTCTTGACACCCCTCTTCCTATCCCTCTTTTTCCTCCCAAGTCTCCCACTTCATCTCTCTATTTCCTCTCATCTTCTTTCTCTGTCTTCCCCTTGTCTTTCCTTACTCTTTCCTCTCACCTTCCTTATCCATTTTCCTTTCCTTTCTTCCCCTCATTCTGTCTCCATCATTCCTACTTTTATCCTTGTGTATGAAGTTTGGATGGTGTTTTAAGGTAATTGCTGAAACTTGTCACAGCTGGTTAGTGTATGTAAATTACTGTATATTAGTACAGTATACGTGAGTGTGTGTGTGTGTGTGTAATTACCTAAGTGTAGTTACAGGATGAGAGCTATGCTCGTGGTGTCCCATCTACCCAGCACTCTGTCATATAATGCTTTGAAATTACTGACGGTTTTGGCCTTCATCACCTTCTTGCCTAACTTTTTCCAACCGTCTACCACTGTTTACAAAAGTGAATTTTTCTTATATTCCTCCAGCAGCTTTGTTTCGTTAGTTTAAATCTTTGACCTTTTGTTCTTGAAGTTCCGGGTCTCAGGAATTCTTCCCTTTCAATTTTATTGATTCATGTTATTATTTTGTACGTAGTGATCATATCGCCTCTTTTTCTTCTATCTCCTAGTTTTTGCATATTTAATGCCTCTAACCTTTCCTCATAGCTCTTGCCACTAAGTGGCTCCCAAAGCTGAAGGACATGTTGTTGCACCTTTTCCAGTTTGCTTATATGCTTCTTAAGATATGGGCACCATGCAACCGCTGCATATTCCAGCTTTGGTCTAACAAAAGTCATGAACAGTTTCTTTAGTATTTCTCCATTCATGTATTTAAAAGCAATTCTGAAGTTAGAAAGTGTAGCATAGGCTCCTCGCACAATGTTCTTAATGTGGTCCTCGGGTGACAGTTTTCTATCTAGAACCACCCCGGTCGGCCGAGCGGACAGCACACTGGACTTGTGATCCTGTGGTCCCGGGTTCGATCCCGGGCGCCGGCGAGAAACAATGGGCAGAGTTTTTCACCCTATGCCCCTGTTACCTAGCAGTAAAATAGGTACCTGGGTGTTAGCCAGCTGTCACGGGCTACTTCCTGGGGGTGGAGGCCTGGTCTAGGACCGGGCCGCGGGGACACTAAAAAGTCCCGAAATCATCTCAAGATCTTAAAATAACCCCTAGACCCTAGTTCCCTTTCTTTGTCAGAATTCTTTAAAGATTTCTCACATAATTTATAGGTTGTGTGGGGGTCTATATTTTCCAGTTCCACATTCCATAACATGGCATCTATTAACATTAAATTCCATTTGCCAAGTGTTGCTCCATATACTTATTTTGTCCAGGTCTTCTTGAAGTGCATGACAATCATCTAGGTTTCTTATCTTCCGTATTATCTTAGCATCATCATCAAACACGTTCATATAATTCTGTATTCCAACTGGTAGATCGTTTATGTAGACAAGGAACATTACCGGTGCAAGAACTGAACCCTGTGGTATGCCACTCGTGACATTTCTCCAATCCGATACATTGCCTCTGATTACGGCCCTCATTTTTCTGGCGGTTAGGAAATTTTTCATCCATGTTAGAAGCTTACCTGTCACCCCTCCAATATGTTTGTTTCCAGAACAACCTCTTATGTGGAACTCTGTCGAAAGCCTTTTTTAGGTCCAGATAGATGCAGTCAACCTAATCCTCTCTTTCCTGTAAAATCTCTGTGGCTCGATCATAGAAACTGAGTAAGTTCGTTACATAGGATCTTCCAGATCGAAAACCATACTGTCTGTCTGATATTATATTTTTTCTCCAGGTGTTCTACCCATTTAGTTTTAATTATTTTTTCCAATATCTTGACTATTACACTTGTCAATGATACAGGTCTATAATTGAGGGGGTCTTCCCTGCTGCCACTTTTGTAGATTGGAACTATGTTAGGCTTTTTTCACACATCAGCTACAACTCCTGTACACAGGGATGCCTGAAAAATCGGTTGGAGTGGAATGCTGAGCTCAGGTGCACATTCTCTCAGAACCCATGGTGAAACTCCATCTGGACCAACTGCTTTGTTCATACTTAGCTCCTTGAGCATTTTTTCCACTTTGTCTTTAGACACCTTTATGTGCTCTTTGTTGTTCTCTGGAATTCTTATTGTCTGGTTCCCTGAAGATTTTCTCTCTCTCTCTCTCTCTGTCTTTTCATCTCTGTATCTCTCTTCATCTCTCTCTCTCTCTTCATCTCTCTCTCTCTCTTCATCTCTCTCTCCATCTCTCTCTCTCCATCTCTCTCTCTCCATCTCTCTCTCTCTCTCTCTCTCTCTCTCTCTCTCTCTCTCTCTCTCTCTCTCTCTCTCTCTCTCTCTCTCTCTCTCTCTCTCTCTCTCTCTCTCTCTCTCTCTCTCTCTCTCTCTCTCTCTCTCTCTCTCTCTCTCTCTCTCTCTCTCTCTCTCTCTCTCTCTCTCTCTCTCTCTCTCTCTCTCTCTCTCTCTCTCTCTCTCTCTCTCTCTCTCTCTCTCTCTCTCTCTCTCTCTCTCTCTCTCTCTCTCTCTCTCTCTCTCTCTCTCTCTCTCTCTCTCTCTCTCTCTCTCTCTCTCTCCTCTCTCTCTCTCTCTCTCTCTCTCTCTCTCTCTCTCTCTCTCTCTCTCTCTCTCTCTCTCTCTCTCTCTCTCTCTCTCTCTCTCTCTCTCTCTCTCTCTCTCTCTCTCTCTCTCTCTCTCTCCTCTCTCTCTCTCTCTCTCTCTCTCTCTCTCTCTCTCTCTCTCTCTCTCTCTCTCTCTCTCTCTCTCTCTCTCTCTCTCTCTCTCTCTCTCTCTCTCTCTCTCTCTCTCTCTCTCTCTCTCTCTCTCTCTCTCTCTCTCTCTCTCTCTCTCTCTCTCTCTCTCTCTCTCTCTCTCTCTCTCTCTCTCTCTCTCTCTCTCTCTCTCTCTCTCTCTCTCTCTCTCTCTCTCTCTCTCTCTCTCTCTCTCTCTCTCTCTCTCTCTCTCTCTCTCTCTCTCTCTCTCTCTCTCTCTCTCTCTCTCTCTCTCTCTCTCTCTCTCTCTCTCTCTCTCTCTCTCTCTCTCTCTCTCTCTCTCTCTCCTCTCTCTCTCTCTCTCTCTCTCTCTCTCTCTCTCTCTCTCTCTCCATCTCTTTCATCTCTCTCTCCGTCTCTTTCATCTCTCTCTCCATCTCTTTCATCTCTCTCATCTCTCTCTCCATCTCTTCATCTCTCTCTCCATCTCTTTCATCTCTCTCTCTCTCTTCATCTCTCTCTCTCTCATCTCTCTCTCTCTCTTCATCTCTCTCTCCATCTCTCTCTTCATCTCTCCTGCCCTCTCTCTTTATCTCTTTTTTATATATATATATATATATATATATATATATATATATATATATATATATATATATATATATATATATATATATATATATATATATATATATATATATATATATATATATATATATATATATATATATATATATATATATATATATAATATTGTTATTATTAATTTTTTTATTTATAATAATATAATGCATGTCATTTTGTCCAACAGAAAATGCTGGATCAGTCACGTTTACAGTTGGCCAACTTGATGAATCAAGAGGAGCCTCCCCCACCAGATGTGTCTCAACTTGAGGAAGATATAAAACAACAGGAAGCAGTGTTGAGAGAAGCTCAGATTAATGTAAGTAAATTCCAACTTCACACGCTTGAGTATCTTTTGGTGACCGAAGAGGATCCACACGAATATATAATATAATATATATATATAATATAATATATGTAATATAATATATATATACAATATATATATGGCCTTTGTCCACAACCTCTCCCATTCCCTCCACCCGACCGTCCAAGTGGTTAGGCACCATTCCTTCCTCCTCCCGTCCCATCCAAAATCCTTATCCTGACCCCTTCCAAGTGATATATAGTCGTGATGGCTTGGCATTATCTCCTGATAATTCCCTTCCCATTACCTCACTTCTCACTTGATGGAATTAGTTCCATGTTAAGATTCCTCACTTTGCAAAGTATGCCAATTTTCCCATCTTGCCCCCGTGGAACATGTTGCCTTGGTACATTGTCGACAATTTACAGAAGTGGGGAGAGGTTGCGGCTTTCAGGATATGTCTGTTGAAGATCCGAGTGAAGAAGTTGCCTGGTCCCCCTTAATTATACCTCTGAAGAATACGAATATCCTCAATACAACATGTAATAATTCTACCCATTTATACCGCTGACCCAACGCGCGTGAGGCCAAAGATCTATCAACTGAGCTATTGAATGAAATGTTTATTTCCACAGAAGTGTGGATGACAAATTATTATTATTTTATTATTTCTTTCTCCTTTCTCTTTCAAACAGTTGGAAAAGATCAAGGAAGAAGTTGCTAGCAGTCAGAATTCTTTCAGAGAATCTTCAATAGCATTTGAAAAATTGAAAGGGGATGAAAAGTCCTTTTATGAACAAGCTGAAAATTTGAAGGTAAGCTAGATGTTATTGTTGACTGTTATGAGAAATTCTGATTTCCCCATTGCTGCTGCACACATCGAGCAATAGATACTTAATTTTGTCGCAATCACCTACTGACCTTTCCCATGATTACCTGATTAATAATTACCTGCGAGTTACGCAAACCACATCAGCTGCGTAACTCTTGGGTAATTATTTATTGCTAAGTTTGCAGACACATCAGGTGAAAGGAAATATTCCCAATAATGAGTCCCACATAAGGCCACACCAAGTCTGAACCTAGGACAGAACTGGGACTTACACTTGTTCACCAGGAACTTACACTTGTTCACCAGGAACTTACACTTGTTCACCAGGAACTTACACTTGTTCACCAGGAACTTACACTTGTTCACCAGGAACTTGCACTTGTTCACCAGGAACTTGCACTTGTTCACCAGGAACTTGCACTTGTTCACCAGGAACTTGCACTTGTTCACCAGGAACTTGCACTTGTTCACCAGGAACTTGCACTTGTTCACCAGGAACTTGCACTTGTTCTCCAGGAACTTGCACTTGTTCTCCAGGAACTTGCACTTGTTCACCAGGAACTTGCACTTGTTCACCAGGAACTTGCACTTGTTCACCAGGAACTTGCACTTGTTCACCAGGAACTTGCACTTGTTCTCCAGGAACTTGCACTTGTCACCAGGAACTTGCACTTGTTCTCCAGGAACTTGCACTTGTTCTCCAGGAACTTGCACTTGTTCACCAGGAACTTGCACTTGTTCACCAGGAACTTGCACTTGTTCACCAGGAACTTGCACTTGTTCACCAGGAACTTGCACTTGTTCACCAGGAACTTGCACTTGTTCACCAGGAACTTGCACTTGTTCACCAGGAACTTGCACTTGTTCTCCAGGAACTTGCACTTGTTCACCAGGAACTTGCACTTGTTCACCAGGAACTTGCACTTGTTCTCCAGGAACTTGCACTTGTTCACCAGGAACTTGCACTTGTTCACCAGGAACTTGCACTTGTTCACCAGGAACTTGCACTTGTTCACCAGGAACTTGCACTTGTTCACCAGGAACTTACACTTGTTCACCAGGAACTTGCACTTGTTCACCAGGAACTTGCACTTGTTCACCAGGAACTTGCACTTGTTCACCAGGAACTTACACTTGTTCACCAGGAACTTACACTTGTTCACCAGGAACTTGCACTTGTTCACCAGGAACTTGCACTTGTTCACCAGGAACTTGAACCCAGCAAGCTGGGTAAGAACCTAATCCCTGGCTAGCAGACACGTGGCCCAACTGGGAAACCACACCGGCCAATTGTTGAGTAGGCCAAAACACAAACCCCCAGCAACCAAAGATGACCCACTACAACTCAGGCCAAGCATGTTAACACGCTTGTTAGCATGTGTGTATATTGTATAGTGTAATAACAGCAAAAGGAGTATGTTGGGAGGCGCCATTTTGGCGAGGAAGGTAACGTCGTCCGTCTGCATGACGTCATGTTGTGTACTGGTAGCCACTATGGTCTTTGGGTACCATACCAGGTTATTTGTACAGGTATGGAGAATAAAACATGTAGATACTTATATATAATGTGCATATATAGTGTAATAACACCACAAACAGTATTGTTGAAGTATTAGTGAGTCTGGCCTTGAACCAGTGATGGCGGCAGCCACCAGCTGACTGTGTGTGTCAGCTGGTGTGCGTATCTTATTGCCTGAACTCACCATACAAGCTTAGATGTACAGTTATGGTGAACAAAACATGTAGATACTTATATATAACGTCTGTTTATAGTGAATAAAAGCAAAAACACAATGGTGGGAGGAGAATGTTGGTGAGTGAGGTGTTGATGGAGGGAGTGGCTGGCTGGCTGGCTGGCTGGTGTGTGGCAGCCAGTGGCTGGCTGGCTGGCTGGTGTGTGGCAGCCAGTGGCTGGCTGGCTGGCTGGTGTGTGGCAGCCAGTGGCTGGCTGGCTGGCTGGTGTGTGGCAGCCAGTGGCTGGCTGGCTGGCTGGCTGGTGTGTGGCAGCCAGTGGCTGGCTGGCTGGCTGGCTGGTGTGTGGCAGCCAGTGGCTGGCTGGCTGGCTGGCTGGTGTGTGGCAGCCAGTGGCTGGCTGGCTGGCTGGCTGGTGTGTGGCAGCCAGTGGCTGGCTGGTGTGTGGCAGCCAGTGGCTGGCTGGCTGGCTGGTGTGTGGCAGCCAGTGGCTGGCTGGCTGGTGTGTGGCAGCCAGTGGCTGGCTGGCTGGTGTGTGGCAGCCAGTGGCTGGCTGGCTGGTGTGTGGCAGCCAGTGGCTGGCTGGCTGGCTGGTGTGTGGCAGCCAGTGGCTGGCCGGCTGGCTGGTGTGTGGCAGCCAGTGGCTGGCTGGCTGGCTGGTGTGTGGCAGCCAGTGGCTGGCTGGCTGGCTGGTGTGTGGCAGCCAGTGGCTGGCTGGCTGGCTGGTGTGTGGCAGCCAGTGGCTGGCTGGCTGGCTGGTGTGTGGCAGCCAGTGGCTGGCTGGCTGGCTGGTGTGTGGCAGCCAGTGGCTGGCTGGCTGGCTGGTGTGTGGCAGCCAGTGGCTGGCTGGCTGGCTGGTGTGTGGCAGCCAGTGGCTGGCTGGCTGGCTGGTGTGTGGCAGCCAGTGGCTGGCTGGCTGGCTGGTGTGTGGCAGCCAGTGGCTGGCTGGCTGGCTGGCTGGTGTGTGGCAGCCAGTGGCTGGCTGGCTGGCTGGCTGGTGTGTGGCAGCCAGTGGCTGGCTGGCTGGCTGGCTGGTGTGTGGCAGCCAGTGGCTGGCTGGCTGGCTGGCTGGTGTGTGGCAGCCAGTGGCTGGCTGGCTGGCTGGCTGGTGTGTGGCAGCCAGTGGCTGGCTGGCTGGCTGGCTGGTGTGTGGCAGCCAGTGGCTGGCTGGCTGGCTGGCTGGTGTGTGGCAGCCAGTGGCTGGCTGGCTGGCTGGCTGGTGTGTGGCAGCCAGTGGCTGGCTGGCTGGCTGGCTGGTGTGTGGCAGCCAGTGGCTGGCTGGCTGGCTGGCTGGTGTGTGGCAGCCAGTGGCTGGCTGGCTGGTGTGTGGCAGCCAGTGGCTGGCTGGCTGGCTGGCTGGTGTGTGGCAGCCAGTGGCTGGCTGGCTGGCTGGCTGGTGTGTGGCAGCCAGTGGCTGGCTGGCTGGCTGGCTGGTGTGTGGCAGCCAGTGGCTGGCTGGCTGGCTGGCTGGTGTGTGGCAGCCAGTGGCTGGCTGGCTGGCTGGCTGGCTGGTGTGTGGCAGCCAGTGGCTGGCTGGCTGGCTGGTGTGTGGCAGCCAGTGGCTGGCTGGCTGGCTGGCTGGTGTGTGGCAGCCAGTGGCTGGCTGGCTGGCTGGTGTGTGGCAGCCAGTGGCTGGCTGGCTGGCTGGTGTGTGGCAGCCAGTGGCTGGCTGGCTGGCTGGTGTGTGGCAGCCAGTGGCTGGCTGGCTGGCTGGTGTGTGGCAGCCAGTGGCTGGCTGGCTGGCTGGTGTGTGGCAGCCAGTGGCTGGCTGGCTGGCTGGTGTGTGGCAGCCAGTGGCTGGCTGGCTGGCTGGTGTGTGGCAGCCAGTGGTTGGCTGGCTGGCTGGTGTGTGGCAGCCAGTGGCTGGCTGGCTGGCTGGTGTGTGGCAGCCAGTGGCTGGCTGGCTGGCTGGTGTGTGGCAGCCAGTGGCTGGCTGGCTGGCTGGTGTGTGGCAGCCAGTGGCTGGCTGGCTGGCTGGTGTGCGGCGGCCACTCTTTGTTGTTTTTGGACTCGCAATACCAACTTAGTGGTTAGTTATGGTGACCAAAACATGCAGATACTTATATATATAACCTGTATATATAGCGTAATAATTGAATCACTAACATGCACACCACCTATTGAAGCAGCCAGCTCTGTTCCGCCTGGGTATATTGTCCTCTCATGAGATTTTTCTTTTGTTTTTGTTTTCCTGCTTAGTGGGGGTGATGCATCTGCGTTTGGTTAGTTCCCCCCCCCCCTTTTCGACAATTGGGGGGGCTTTCTCTAGGCATCTCAGTGTTCTTGGTGGTACCCCTTGCTTGTCCCCCCCTGTGAGTAGACACGTCCTGGGTGGTTCAGCTTTTAGAAGTTTGCTCGGTAGTTTTGGGCACCGGTTCGCAGATCCCTGCCTGGGCTTCCCTTAGCATGATATCAAGGCTAAGGGCCCTGGGAAACACCACATGGGCTCCGTGGTCCGATGGATTCAACCCTTGAGTCCCCTCTCACTTCGTGCGAGATTGATGGTAGCTCTGTCCCCTTGTCTCTGGGCGACAATCATCGGTTGTGCTTTCGCCATGCTGCTTGTCGGGTTGGTGATTCTTTTAGCCCGGAGTCGTGCGACGTTTGTTCTTTGTATGTGTTCCAGTTCACCAAGGCTACTGAACATGATATGAGGGTGCAGGCAGCAGAGGCATTGCATGCTCGGTTTAGGTTGCTGCAATGTGATAGGTTCGTTGCTTTCTTGGATGCCCCGAGACTGTCCCATTTTAGTTATAGGGACTCCGGACTTGGGGGTGGGAATCGCGTCAACTTTGGTTCCGTCTCCCCCTTGTTGTCCTTCCTCTAAGGTGGTTCATTCAGTCCCCTCCTCCCCCTTGCTGCTAGCTCCGAAACATCTAAGGATTTCAGAGACAGGACAGGGTTTCAGGGTTTAGTTGGTGTTGAGACTCGGGTGGTCTCGGGAGTCCTCTTCCGGAGTGGCAACGGAGGCATTCGAGCCTAGTCCTCTGCCGGAGCTTCTGAGTCTGACCAGTGGGTCCCCTTTGTTCCTGCTTTTTCGGCTGCTCCTACCTTTTCTTTAGAAGCGAGGTTTGTGGAGGACGGCTCGGCCCCAGTTCCTCTGGGTGAGGTTCCCAGTGTAACACGGGGTGCGGTATTCGTTCTCTCTATCCCCTCTCTGTACCCTATTTAACTCTCTACCAAGGGACCCCAAACTTTTACTTGAGCCGACCCCACGCCACATGGTCTTAAGACGATTGACCGACTTAAGATTCTACAACCTTATTACGTAGAAACCGACTTCTAGCAAAA